CCGACCTCAATTTCGCAGATGCAGTTGTCACATGGATTGCGTTATCTTAGTTATACATAGTAACAAGTCTTAAAAATCGGTATCTCAATTTGTCAAACCTGTAGTTATTAGAGTATAATTTCAAAAAACCACTTCTGTGGGGTCGTAATGGGATTAAAGATTTTGCTTTGAATATAATAATTTGGCGACTTCTATCAGGTCAAAAATAGTAACCGGAATGAAAGCCATACTATGGGGCTCGACAGGTAACGAAACATATGCATAAACGTAATTTACTAGCGTAGTATATGACTGATTACCGCTACCTTTAATATATTAACTGGTGTACTAACGGCAAATGCCCGCATTCTGTACATAATACGTTTGCATTGTAATCACAATAAAATAACTTATAAAAAGTAAATTTCCTTCCAGCTATCGGATGAAGAGAATAAACAAACAGTTTGCTGGGAGGTTGCCTAAAGTAATTCAGAAGGTCGGTACATTTAGGAAGACCACCTCCTTGCTACGCAAAATGCAAATTATAGGAGGTCTAACATACATCCCCCATCTTAATTACTAAAGCCACCGACTACAACGTGTGCTTTTGGTCTAGACACCTCTAAGATCTGCTAACAACTTAACGACGACGTATCTGGCACAATCGCTTAGCGCTCGTCATATAACGCTGTTTCACGACGGCCGAAAAACTGTTAAAATACAAACAAAAATATAGATGCCGATAAAGCCAAATGCTAATTTTCAGGAACCTCTGGAAATGTAGGTATCTCGATCGCTTAAACAAAAGTTGAGCTCGCCTGAGGCCTAAAGTTCGCACTTGAACTCACCAGCTACATCAACGGAAAAGTAGACCAGTTGCACGGTGGGCTCAGTATTTATAGATTATTATGGTTACGCCACCACACACCTAATACTGGCGGCTCACTCACCAGTCGCAGATGTATATACTTGATGCGGTAAACCGCTGATCGCTTGTATCCGAGTCGTTACTTGCCGCAACTGCATTAGCAATTTTGTGTATGTCTGTAATGGTGACGAGACAAACTGTCTCACTAATACCGCCACTGGAAGCAGCGTTCGCCTGCATGATCTTTGCACAACTAAATGCCCCACCCAGGCAACCTTGGAAGTGAATAGAAATGGTTGGTGAATAGTATGCCTCAGAACCATGGCCAAAGCAATCCGCTGCTCACGTACTTGCGATAAGTCCGGCTCCATCGAACGCGAGGCTGTGATCGCGTTACGTCAAATGAATTGCGAAATGAGCCCTGATGTCCATCCTCTCTATGGCCGATGCGCCTTACACTGTCCGCTTCTGTGGTTACGCCAACCTAGCTGTTTTGACCGCGCTCTCATCGCATTCGGTAAACGGCCCCAGACGATCCTTGTCACGACAGAAGTAATTCCGGCCTACACAGTCAATGTCTGGTAATGCGTTGGCTTATTTTTTGGGGCTTTCTGTCAACCAAAATGTACTTGTCACTTCGTTTGTTATACTCCTTATAGATGCTTATCGTTTGTCTGGAAAAAGTAGTTGGGACTTTGCCAGGGTACTTCGAAAGTAATTCGTTAGGATTTTATAGCCATTTTCATATATTTAATTTGAAATGAGCCATCGCTTTGGATACAAATTAACCCACTAAATGCATTGAGGGTATTGGAAATCTACCTCCTATACGAACCTTTGTTCGCCTACTTTTGTTATCCATGTGGCGAATATACGATTCTTCAGGAGAACGTCCTCCAACAAACAGATCGCAAGAGTAAAAAATTGTTAAATTTTCACGAGATCAACTTAAATATAAGAATCTTTGTTTCGTTCCCATCCGACTGCTCATCTTTTGGAATGTCGGCTTGCCAAAAATTAGCTTATGTTTGCTCTAAGCATACACTAGTTATATTTAAGTTCCAAACGACTCAGCGGGCTGTCAACCAAGATTTTCATTCCTAAAAACTGAGTTTATGAAACACCTGTAGGCACAATTAAAAAGGGCATTTTGGCTTACAAACTAATGACAATTAGGAGTTAAAGACAGTAATTTCATTGCAAAATGAGATTGTCACAGAATTGACGTCTTTTGCATAGGAACAAAATAAATTCGGGGAGTATTCTAGCACAAATTTGAGCTCGCTTATGTCTTGCGCATAAAACGTTTGCAGATACATTATGCTAACCATCTTACACATCAAACCGTGAGATTTCTTCAATTGCATAAAATGTTTAGGTTCCACCACAATTTTTCTCATCTAATTCAACGGGAAACGTAAAATCAAGTGAAGATAGGTGCACTACTAATTATAAGTCACTGCCATGTGGACATTTTAGTTGAACAAAATATAAGTTTGAGGATGGCTCAAATTATCTGCTCCTTAGTAAGTTCTCATGTTAAGGAAGTTAAAAAAGTGCCAGAGAAAAAACCTATGTCAAGTTAAACACCCATGCTACACTTAGGATAAGCAAATTTTATTTAATTGACTGCTGCAGGTTAAGATCATGGGATAGGAAGACGGAAACTCCGCAGTAGAAGGTCCAGCATCCTCAGGTAATGGTAACTCAACCGTTGCATCACGCCAGTAATTTTGAAACTAAAGTCATTCCAGGATAACGAGGGAGGGCCTAATATGAGCCGTTTGCATACTTCGGCTTTGCTCAAAACTGCAAACAAAGCAGACATTTTCACACGCGAAGTACGTTCCCATATCTCTGCCAGTTGGATTAACTTTGTTAAAGGATATTCATGAGTCACAGAGATGACTTAATATTATGAACTGTTAGTAATACCCAAACATCGAGTCTAAGAATGGCCAACTGTGATGTGAGGCTGAAAAAAGCAAGAAAAACTTGAGTTTATCCAGTTCATATCTAGCTGACCCTGATATTCGCCAAGATTTGCGGTCTGATAAACACTGGTACACGCACAACGCACATTGCACAGCGACAAAATTAATACTAGTACGTCAAAAGTCATGTACAACCTACAGTAGGTAAGGTAATTCATTAAATGTCAACCGGAATTCCAAAATTGATTTTCGTTTCGAACACAGTAATTTAGGAAGGTTGTATAACTAACCATCGTACATCATTAATCTATGATAATTCAGTCACATCGAGATGCCGGATTTCGAACGTACTTCTTTCCGGCTGCATACTCTGTAAAAAATGACTACTTACGTAGCTTGCTTTTTTCATTGCTTTTCGATGCCCTTGAAAATTCAATTATATTTTGTAAAAAGCACGCATACAAATCTTCATCCTTTTACCCATTCGGTAGCGAATTACGTACTCTTTCAATTTTATATTTGAAGGAAGGGTATAATTAGATTTCTATAAGCTTCTCCAGTTCCCGAATAATTTTTAACTTGTATTCAGGGTTTGCAAACAACAAGACGTATGCTTTCTGCGTACGGAAAGTCATATATTTCTCTACGATATTAACAGGAGGCTATATTGGGTTCATAAAATATAGAAATGGATTTGAGCTATATTGTAAACTTTACAAGCCACATTGGTAAATGAAGGGCCATGACGCTTTATGAGCAGCCATTTCACGGTTTTAAAAAACCTCACAATGAGAAGCTCTGTAAAACCGTCTTATACCCTTCCTTCAAGCTAAAACTTGGAAGAAGACGTAATTCGCTACCGAACGAGTAAATGAATGAAGATTTGTATAGGTGTTTTCCACGAAATATAAATAAATCATTTAAGGCATCGAAAAGCATCGAGCAAAAAGCATGCTACTTAAGTAGTCATTGTTTACAGAGTATGCAGCCGGAAAGAAGTACGTTCGAAATCCGACATCTCGATGTGACTGAATTATTTTGGATTAATGCTGCACGATGGTTAATTAGACAACCTTCCTAAATTAATGTTTTCGAGACGAAAACCCATTTTGGAATCCCGGCTGACATTTCATGAGTTAGCCCACCTACTGTAAGTTTTGACATCTTTTGTACGAAAAAACGACTTAAACATATTTAACCGTAAACAGACCATAGTCTCCAGGAAGTAAAATGACGGTAATGCGACTGAATGGACATGCCCTTTGCTGTCAGCATAATTCATGCATTTTTTTTATGTTAATTTCCTAAAATAATTAAAATAAGCATGCCGATAAAAACGTCAGTTTTAAGTATAGACACATTTGAAATAACCCCAAATTTTACGGCCCTAAATGTTTGTATTTTAGCGAGTTTCCTGCCGTTATATTGGTACAAATATGTATGAGTGATCAGGCACAGAGGTTTTCGATTTTATATAGCAAAAACATTGGTTTCTCCTTAAGGTTATGCATCCAGTTGTTAAAATTTCCACTGTTCACTATACGCGCATACAACAACAACAGAAAAGAACAGGTTTAGAAAACATTATGAAAATAGTTTCGCCAGTCGGTCCTTAAGCCGACATGCGACGGACAGCACGACATTTGTAGGCAGCATAACGAACAGATTTTACATTTTTGGTTCGAGGTCTCGCCTTGTTTATTAACGTCGAATAAAGTAGTGTCAACGTACGACACTTATCTGCTAAATACAAACTAATGGACAGTAATCTTAATGTGCATAAAATACTGCCTCTTTCTATCGTCAGAGATGTCCATACGTCATTGAAATGTTCATGCATCTTACTACCACTGCTACTAATACTGTCACACTACTTACTGACACCGAAACTGATGTTTTCTTTTTGTGCTTAGCCACTCAGCTACTAATGTGAGTGCTTGCGGGGCTCATGTAAGCGTGCGTGCTCACGTTATCGTGAAACAGACTCTGCTCCGACAAAACCCTCTAACCAATGCCCCACCGTTAATTTCGTTTGCGCAGACAAGCCTGCGCGTCCCAGGGACGCACTGCACTGAAAGCGCACTCAACATCGATCTTCCACCCGTTGCTCCCATAACAACCGCCGTAGGCCATGGGAAATGTATATATGTATGCACGTGCACATTGCTGGTGATCAGTGAGCATCCACAGGGTGCATAATATACCATCAACAATCAAATATGCCAAAGAAAGGACTTGGTGAGTGTTCAAATTTACTTCTTTTACGCTACCGGAGTTTACTAATAAAAGGGAATATTTTTCATTTGGCGTCAGGGAAAACTATGGGGGATAGTTCACAATTTCGCAGTAAACTAATTCTGATTTTTGCTCCATTATCACACTATTTCAGAATAAGGGATAACCACTTGATGGGGACTTATTGCTATGTTCGATACCATTTAGAGCAGTTGGCGTTTTCTCAAAAAGTTAAAGCCCAAATCTCAAATTAATGATGCAAAATATCAACTGTGTCTTTTGATTGCCAATATGCTATTTTTGTGTTTAACAAAATGCATTATATTCTAAAACGGTGTTGGGGCGAGTTTTCACGATCCCGAATGATGCTTCGGTCGTACCACAATAAAGATAGACGGTTAGCTCGTAAGGCTGATTCGAAGTCCAAAACCGCTTAGTAATATGTACAGGAAGTCACTCTTTTGTTCACGACCTTCCTTTATGGAATCCACTGCATCAGTCTGTAAAGATTGATTATATGGAAACAAGCTTTGGTGTTGAAGTCCGTAATTGTGAACCAAGAAACTCATAGCAAAATATGTAAATAAGCTTCCTTTTATATTGTTAAAGTTAGGAAACTGACGATAGTTCTGGTGAAGGAAGGAAAATCAGTTTATTGGGGTTTTTCTTCTGTCTGCCTTTCAAATCTTCATGAAGATTTCCATATAAAACTGATAAACTAGCGTGTTCATGGCGATGCTCTTATTTTTGTTTTGTTGTTTGAGTTTATTCTCAAACATAGACGGAACTCGTTAACTTTAGTATTCAGGCCTGTGTGTGCACCTGCTGAAGGAGCGTCCGCTAAATTTTCACTTACTTGACTTGTATTTAATTTCTTTTTAAAGGCATCCAAACCACTCACTTTTATATTTTAGATTGTTGTCCAGAACCCAATGACGGGGAGGAAGAAATAGCGGTAGAGCGATATTGGAACACCGCCCCCTTAGGTAAGAACGGACGACCAACCTTAGCGTATATCCGATTTTTCCCGGCTTTCGCTTCTATTTTCACGTACACTGGCAAGTGTAAGTACCAGGTGAGTATGAAAATCGGGCCATAAATGAGTTTCCTCGGAGAACACATTACTCTTATTGGCCATGATGTTAAACCCATCCAGAAGTTTGCTATTTGAACTTAAATAAACTAAATATACCTATTTTATATTTAGGTAAAGGCGAATGCAAGCCACGCAAGGGGCAAGAAAAAATAATTATATCTAGACGATGGCAAAAGGCGAAGGGCTGTAAGTTTTCGCACTGATTATAATTACAATCTCCTTCATTTAGCAGAGGAAGCTAGTGGAAAGCGTGGGACAAGAGGGTCTAATCCCTACGGTTGTCCGAAAGGCAAACGTATGTTTTTTATGTCCTGCAAGCGTTTTCTTGACTAGTGCTATATTTTCTATTGTCCTTACGTACCTAAGAATGCCGTACTAACGAGATTCCGTCTCCAACATCTGGCGGGGACATAATGAGAAAATTTCCTATTGCTGAATGTCTACCCCACATTAATACTTTCAGTTTACCTGGAGATTCCATTTGTATATCAATTTAGAATTTTTTGGTCCTTCTAGACAACAGGTGCCTTGTTTTATGAAAAGGTGCCCTGCTTACCAAGACATTATCTGACGACTGCATATTTTGGCATACAGGTGACGAATCTTGCTCATCCAGTTCTTCATCCTCGTCCTCCTGCTCTCTCTCATGTTCGTGTTCCTCCTGTTCCTCGTCCTCATCATCATCTAGCGAAGACGAATGTGAAAGGAAAATGAGTCGCTCAAAACCGCAGCGTAGTAAGTAGTCAGACTTTATCTCAGACTTTTTTTACGACAGCTCAGAGATAACGTTGTTTTCTAAATAAACTCGGCAATATTCTTCAACTTTGAAGACCATAAATAATATTCGAAAAGTAGTTGTGAGGTATTTAGTTTTTTTACATGAGAGCCGGCGATTACCGACTGAATAAAAGTCTATGGGGATGTGTCGGAAAGCTGAACATCGAGAGTGTGCGTCCAGAACAAGGAACAAAGATGTGCAGATGGTTTTTCAATTTCAAAGACTATGAACCGGAAAGTAGACATTAGCTATGCCTGGCTGCATATGAAAACAAAGCGGTGGTAAAAACTGAGTTGTGACCAAATTGCTCGATCTCTAGCAATTTTAAGCGAGAAATGTAAATTCCACGTTTTGCTGAGATACAGCAGACAACGACCTCAAAAATACGCGACTTTAAATTTGTGTCATTTGAAATTCATAGAAAGTAAGTTAATTTAATTTTTAAGAGAAATAAAACTGTTGGAAAATAATTGTTGAAATGCAAATATCTTGGGACAGGCACTAGATTAAAACTGCACTGTCAGTCGGAAAACTCTCATTAAGAGAGTTTCTGAGAATAAATAACGCCCATCAGCATGATCTAAGTCTGCTCCGGCCTAACTAATAAGCTGCCGAAATGTGCCTGCTCATGAACCATAGCAAAATCACTAAAACAGCAGAATGTTCTGTATTATCCTCCAACTTACTATTCTTTTAAATGCTGAAAAATACAGCTGCACTGAATCTAGTTGACATGAAACCAAACGCTTTATAATACCTGAAACAATTCCCATCGGTCTTATTCCAATTTTAACTGTCCTACAAATTTTGAATTTTGCCTCCCGAATAACATTTTTAAATCGCTTAAAATGTGTTGCGGCCTGTTATAACAAAATTCGGCAGCCTTACGTATAATGCGAATATAAGCCACTAACTCCGTCAAAGGGGAAACAGAAAAATCAAATGGATGTTGATTGTCATGCTTCGCAAATATACGTCCAAAATTTGCTGCTTAAACTGCATAAAATGATTTCTGTGTCGTCTAGAGTATCGAACCCGTGGAAAGTCAGCCGATAAATGTGGGGCCAAGAAGGGCAAGGGTTCCGGTAAGTTGACTAAGATTTGACCATACGATTGGTGAGGGTCGTCCAGTTAGGCTTATGTAAAAACCAGTAATACCCGTCAATTCTTGAAATCCCAATCGCTGCATACATTTGAAGCCTCTGGGTCATCATGTTGCTTTTAGCTGTTTTAGTCGAAATTCATAACGCCTTTGTGGCGCATGCCACCTCTATTCAGCATGTCCTTAGTGCAGCTGCAGGATAAGGGGTCAAGTAATCACCCCCTTTATCGCATTGTGCTGTGAGTTTAGGAGCACTACCTTTTAAAGGAGGCCGGATGCAAAATGATAGTCATGGCTTCAAATCGCTGACGTTAGCAAAAAGAAAATAGACTGAATAGCCCGGAACAGTTTTTACATGACAGCATGCCTAAGAAGCCCGAAATTTGTTAGAAATCACTCCATATATAGGTTGCTTAGACAATACATATATGTGCATACATACGTGATTCAGCAATTCATATTTTTTCCTTGAATTTTAAATAATCCCAAAGGATTTACAACTTTATGGGGCATTTCAATACCTACAGTGGGTTACATTTGCGTGTCCTAAAGTTGAAGTCAGATGTTCGCCTCAGAATCAAGAGTCGTTTATCATGTACTTTCTTGTTTTCAGATGCGGTGAAACTCTGTATTAAACTGGCAGAAAAGCACAGAACGCCTAATACTCCAAGGCGCAATGCTGAAAAGTGTCAGTTACTTTTGAACTAGCTGCTTTACATGTTAAGGTTTTCTGATCGTGTGTGCTCTGAAAAATAACAACCGTTTCATACCTGGACAGGCGACGAAAGCGACTCCTCCTCCTCCTCCTCCTCCTCCAGCTCATCTGACAGTTCCTCTAGTTGCAATAGTGAGGATGACGATTATAAAAAATTCGGATTCCGAAAGCCTTCAAGTAAGTTCCGGTTTGAATCAGCATATGGCTTTAAAATGAGTCAAAAGACAAGAAGAAAGCTCGTTTACCTTACGTCATGGATTCTAATCCAGCTCATAACTTGAGACGTAACCGTATGTGTACGTTGTAGAGTCAAAATGTCCACCTCGAAAGAATGCTTCCTGCAAAGACGCCCTTTACAAAGCCCCTGGTAAATTCTTTTTCTTTTTGAGTACTTATCTCTTGTCTGTATATTATGATATGACTTTAGGCAAAAGGGAGAGCACTTTGCAATGCTGTTTCGGCAATTACTACGACTAAAATGGTACTACGCACGGTTAGTGCTTCATTACAGTATAATATAAGAAAGACGAAGAAATGGCGCCATCTGAAGAGTGTCTCAAAAAGTCTACATAATCCGTAAATACACTTCACATGTTAATAAATCGGCTGCGTTACCGAGATACGAAAAAAATTAGACTGTAAAAGAAAACATAATCTACGAAAATATAAACAAACCCTCCCTTTTTTTCTTCTAAGACTTCATGTTTAGATGAATAGGCTTGGAAAAACCAACATATTAAAAGTTAACATATTTTATCAATCATTAGAACATGCTAAGCTGGTAAACGTTATTGCCAAAATAATATATTTGCATTCGATTGTAATAAAGCTATATACGGACTTCAGTTGCCTGTCGGCGGTATGACTGCTGGACTTGGCAGCGAAAAGTTAGCAATTTTGCAAGAATTAGGACTGCATTTTAATGCGCCCCGTTAAAAGAGCTCTGAGTTACTAACACTGTTAACAATTTTAGATTAGGTTCAAATTCCCCTTTCATAAATGCTGAGTGAACACATCTGTTCAGAAAATGCAAAACCAGTGGCCAAGGCCTCATGCTTTTATTCTACATAATTCTTTTCCGCATACTTCCAATAATGTCATTTTCGCTGTGATTTCTGTAATTCAATTTGAAGGTTCACAGTGCCCTCCTAAGCGTCCTCTTGGTAAGGAGAACTAAATCAACTTTTGGTCTTTTATGTTTACATATTTTTTAAGAAATTGAACATTTTTCCATCGATGTTTAAGGTGAGATTTGCCTTCAATGCGGCGAACCCACGACTTTGCGCAAGTGCCATTAGACACGCTTCCGATGACGGCTCACCTGTTGCAGTTCAAGAGCTACTTTGCGAAAATCTACAACGAAGCAGTTTGCATTGGGCTTTGAAATAAAAAAATTTTCTCCTTGTTTGTTACTTTTGGTGGAAACATTCACGGAGAGGGTTTTACTGCCAGTCAAATGCCTGGAATTTCTTTACGTCATAGCGGATGAGCGTTTCGAAAATCCGGCTCAGTGAACAATTAGAGAAGTCAAGTGCTATTCATAGCGTAGAAAAGTAACCAAACTTCCTGTAAACTCATAAGTGGCTTGCGCTTCACACTCTTAAAAATGCCGCAAACCATTTATTCTACATATCCACAAGATCAAGGAATATTTTAAATTGCAGAAATGAAGCAGAAATTTTCGTCACATCTACGCTGCATTAGGTGATTTTTCACCATACGCCTGTCATCTCATTCGATATGGCGAACTTAATCATATGTTTTTAATAGTTTATTATGCACTAGATAGATGAGAGTTCAGCTGTCGTTGTCGGTGATGTTTACCGCGTGTTCCGCAGCAGGATGAGAGCAGAAACGGTGACGTGAGCGTGCTTTAGTTCGTAGCAGACTTGCGCCACATTTACCACACTTTCCCCTCATCCTCTCCCACCTAGACCTGGTGTCAATAGAAAACCACCTTGGCGTACCATCACATCTCCTGGTGCACAAGGTATATTGACCAGGATTTTAAACGACAAGAGAAGAGGGGTGCAACTCGGATCCCATCAGATGGGAATACCAGGCAGATACAGACTGCATACTTAACACGGAATTCACTCACCAAGCTGCCAGCATTTATGTATTGGACCACAAAGGAATTGGAACGGCCGATGAGACCAGTGTCACGAAAGATTTATTAATATAAAATAATTCAACCTTAAGACACCGCTCTTACCCACAACCTAGTCAATCACGTCTCTGGCAGACAACCTAAGCCCTATTTTATAGCGGACCACAGTAAATAAAATAAACTAAAGCATGCTTCCCCAGAAAGGAACGCATGAAGGGCATTTTTTCCCCGAATACGTCTGTTATCGTGAAAATAATGTTGATTAAGGTCCTTGAGTCACAATAATCCACAGGACAGACAAAGCCATTTCTAGTACAAAAGTTGCATCGGGTTGCCACGGTCTAAAGGAAGAATTACATTTTGTACAAAATGAGTTAGAAATAGGCTGTAGAAAGTTGTCAGATAAGCGAAAGGCGCACGCTCGCCGTTGTAGGGACAGGCATCTGAGTGCCATCGACAGAAAAGGTCAGGTGTCTTGAGCGAGGGCTCGTCTGGGTCCGTCTTGAAATTTTTGACCAATTTTGCCAGGTGTGATTGGCCGAGAACCATACAGAGCTACTCGGTTTCTGGGAGTGGCCAGATGAGACGGGAGCATTGTACGCATAAGCCAGATTTGCAGTGCTTAAACAGGCGCCCAAAGGAAGGTCATTTAAAACAATTTTTGGCAGGATTTACGGCAAACTTAATATTTTCAAACAAGAAAATTTAATCGACGGAACAGACTTTGTATTTGTCTGAGTATTCGAAAGCGTGCGGGTGCGCATCGGTTGAGCTAATGAGGCAACAGCAACACATGCGTGTAATGTATAGCTTCTAATTACGTGTCAGTAAAAATTCTGCTGTTAGAGTAACGGGTGCGCCTTTACCATCATCGTAATAGCCAACGCTCAGTTATCATTTGATGATGAGAGACATATTTTATCAGAAACCATGATTCATCGGCCTCGCCAGTAGTAAACGCTTTCAGATGTTGAAAGTTTGTAGAGACGGCACAAAGTGGTGTCCGAGGAGCGGACAGAATTTGCTGCTGACATTTTCTATATGTCCGTTGGAGTTGGGGTCAGGACGTTTGTGTAGGCAATAAGAGCAAAAAAACAAATTCCAAGAACTCAACTTCGAATTAATCGCACTGGCACCAGATGTTTGGGGTTAACCAAATATTCACTCAACTTGGATGTCAAGGAGAAAGCAGTTGTATCACAAGTTACAAAGTTTTGCGAGCTACGCAGAAACAGCTGGTGAAAGTAAGCATGTGGTTGCTCAGAAGACGAAGTTGCGATCACTGGAACAAGAAATTTATTGGCCTGACGGTTCGGATAATCACTCGAACCCGTCACCAGAGATAGTCGCAGATAAGGGTAATGGCGGTACAAGGACTGCACTATTTATAACTAGTGACTGCCGTGGGACCATATGCCTACTGTAATTAACAGCTCTCCCAATCACTGCTGGGGTTGTAATTGATGTGATGATAGCTTGTCAGTCAATGTCCGAGTCGTTAATTGCCGCGATTTCGTCAT